ATGCATTTCTCCAAAACCCAATATACGGTGTTAATGGGAGACTTCAATGTAAAACTAGGCACAAGAGAGAATGGTGAGCTGAAAGTAGGGAAATTTGGAATAGGGCAACGGAACCCAAGGGGCCAGCAGTTGGCCGACTTCATGGATAAAGAGGGACTATTTATGATGAACTCTTTCTTCCAAAAGCGGCCCCACATGAAGTAGACCTGGTCGAGCTCTGGTTCGACAAAAAATGAGATTGACTTCATTATGACGACCAGACGACAACTGTTCAGTGATGTCTCAGTGATCGCGAGGGTGAAAACCGGCAGCGATCACCGAATGGTTAGAGGCACACTGAACCTAAACGTTAAGTTGGAGAGGTCTCGTCTAATGAAGTCAACGCTCCGTCCCACTCGTGCTCTAATCCAAAGTCTCGAAACCTTTCAGCTCGAGTTACAAAACCGTTTTCAGTGCCTAGAAGACTGCAATGAAGTGGACCATATGAATGACAAGCTCGTGGAAACTGTCCATGCGGTCTGAGCTAAGTTCTGCAAGACCCGCCGCAGAAGAACACAAAAACTCTCCGATCACACTCTCATGGCTGTTGGACGGGAGATGAAGCTACATTCTTCAACAGATTTGACAGCATACAGGCAACTGAACAGACAGATCTCCAAATGCATGCGGCGGGACTTACGCAACTTCAATACAGCTAGTATTGAAGAAGCGATCGAGCGGAACCAAGGCTCCAAAGTCTTTGCCAGAGATCTGTCTGCCAGAAAGAGCACACTGTCAAAGCTGAAGACGGAATGTGGCAGCATTGTTTCCGGGGCACCTGAGATTCTGAGTGAGATTGAGAGGTTCTATGGGCAGCTGTACACGTCATCGTTGGAGCCACACGCGATTGTGAGTAACGATCTAAGAGCGAGTCTTATCCGACATTATTCCGATGATATCCCGGACGTCAGTCTGAGCGAGATTAGAATGGCTCTCCAGCACCTTAAAAACGCCAAGGCCCCAGGTGAGGATGGAATTACAGCGGAGCTTCTGAAAGCGGGTGGAAAAACGGTACTTGAAGTCCTTCAGAAGCTCTTAAATCCGTCCTCCATGGTGGCATTACACCGGAGGCGTGGAGCAGAAGTGCGGTGGTCTTGTTCTTCAAGAAAGGCGACAACGCCCTTCTGAGCCGCGTCTACGTGCTGTTTTCGAGAGTCATTACGAATCGTCTCGCGCGCAGACTTGACGACTTCCAGCCTCCCGAACAAGCTGGTTTCCGAAAAGGCTTTAGCACCATAGACCACATACATACCCTTCGGCAAATTGTACAAAAGTCAGAGGAGTACAATTTGCCACTATGTCTGGCGTATTTGGACTATGATAAAGCCTTTGATTCCGTCGAAATTTGGGCGGTGCTGCAATCCCTTCAGCGGTGCCAAGTGGACTGTCGGTATATCGAAGTGCTGAAGTGCTTGTACAGTAGGGCTACGATGGCTATCCGAGTACAGAACCAGAGTACGAAACCTATCCAGTTGCAGAGAGGTGTAAGACAGGGTGACGTCATATCTCCGAAACTTCACCGCTGCATTGGAAGACGTTTTCAAGCTTCTGGACTGGAAAGGATACGGTATCAACATCAATGGCGAGTACATCACTCACCTTCGATTTGCCGACGATATAGTCCTTATGGCAGAATCGCTGCAGGGCCTAAGCACTATGCTCAATGACCTCAATAGTGTTTCCCAACGGATAAGTTTTAAGATGAACATGGACAAAACAAAGATCATGTTTAATGTCCATGTCACACCTATGCCGGTAGTTGTTGGGAGCACTAAGCTCGAAGTTGTTGACGAGTATGTTTACCTGGGACAAATAGTCCGACTAGGTAAGTCCAACTTCGACCGAGACGTCAATCGACGGATTCAACTATGTTGGGCAGCGTTCGAAAAATTACGGCACATCTTCTCGTCAGATATACCTCAAAACTTGAAAACGAGACTGTACAACCAGTGCGTGTTGCCAGTGATGACATACGGAACTGAGACGTGGTCCTTCACTGCTGGCCGGATGAGGAAGCTCAAGGTCGCTCAGCGAGCTATGGAGAGGGCTATGCTCGGAGTTTCTCTGCGTGATAAACTCAGAAATGATAGAACCAGAGTGACCGACATAGCCCAACGGATTAGTAAGCTGAAGTGGCAATGGGCCGGCCATATAGCTCGAAGAACCGACAACCGATGGGGAAGAAAGGTTCTCGAGTGGCAGCCTCGTACCGGCAGGCGAAGTGTTGGGCGTCCCCCCACTAGATGGAGTGACGACCTGGTAAGATATGCAGGAAGTCGATGGATGCAGGTGGCTCAGGACCGTGCTTTGTGGCATTCCTTGGGGGAGGCCTATGTTCAGCATTGGACTTGTGAAGGGCTGTAATGGTGATGATGAAAGCTATTTAAAATCAGAAACTTTTGTAAAAGTAATTAATTGGATTCTGTAAATGATCATACCTAAGAACGAATTAGTAGGTGGCAGTGGTAGGTGTTACTTTTCTGCCAAGAAGTTAATTTGGAAAGTACCCACTTATGTATATCTACCGCCAAATAGCAGTAGCTAAACAGCTTGCACTGCTATGTACCGGTCTGAAGGCCTATAGAAAATCAGTATAATTAAAACTGTGAGGCATTCTATCTAAGTTCTTAGAGGTGTCATCGCATCTGTAGCTTGCATGGACTGCAGCGGCCGCAGTGTGTGCTAGCCACTTACTGCTGGCCGCAGTAATCATCAATGTTACGTGGTTTATACGGTAGAGCTACGCTGCAGCTATACGCTCTTCCAGTATACTAGCGTGAAAGAGTAGAATAATGCTGCTGTGTTTCGTATGGCGATTGTAAAGAATCGTACAACCTTTTTACTGGTAACGAGGCATTTTATCTTAGGGTGCGTACAGTTTAAGTAACATGTTATGTTTTATAACACATCCACATTATGTAACATTATTTTTCAACATTGCAACATATAACAGTATTGTACACATTTGAATAATAATGCAATATAACAATGTTATATGACATTGTCGTTTGTCGATCTGCCGTTCGAATTATATAACATTTGTTATATAAGACTTCACTTTACTGAGACATGTTATATAACATGTTAAGTTATATAATGTGTATGCACCATTAGTTGTCAGTGGCGACAACGCATTGCAACGCAACGTATTTTGGTTATCAATCGAGGGTAGATGTAGATGTCTATTGGTCACAGCATCTAATTACCATTGGGTGGACTATGTTCTTGGTTGTCCCCCTTATTCTATATTTAAAAACAAATATGTACTCTGACTATGAAAGGATGCTAAGAAAGTTATGTTACGTTACCACATAACAAACCCTAATTACGCTAACAATTATTCATGTGCAGCAATCGTTCAGCGAGTTTCTGGTCGTACTGTGTTACTTTAAAGATATCTTGAGTGATTGCACAATAATAAGAAACGGTTCAAAAATATTTTGTAAGAAACAAGATAGAGTCAATATCACCATTTATCATCATCATCATCATCATTACAGCCCTTCACAAGTCCACTGCTGAACATAGGCCTCCCCCAAAGAATGCCACAAAGCACGGTCCTGAGCCACCTGCATCCATCGACTTCCTGCATATCTTACCAGGTCGTCACTCCATCTAGTGGGGGGACGCCCTACACTTCGCCTGCCGCTACGAGGCTGCCACTCGAGAACCTTTCTTCCCCATCGGTTGTCGGTTCTTCGAGCTATATGGCCGGCCCATTGCCACTTCAGCTTACTAATCCGTTGGGCTATGTCGGTCACTCTAGTTCTACTGCGGATATCCTCATTTCTGAGTTTATCACGCAGAGAAACTCCGAGCATAGCCCTCTCCATAGCTCGCTGAGCGACCTTGAGCTTCCTCATCCGGCCAGCAGTGAAGGACCACGTCTCAGTTCCGTATGTCATCACTGGCAACACGCACTGGGTGTACAGTCTCGTTTTCAAGTTTTGAGGTATACCTGACGAGAAGATGTGCCGTAATTTCCCGAACGCTGCCCAACCGAGTTGAATCCGTCGATTGACCTCTCGGTCGAAGTTGGACTTACCTAGTCGGACTATTTGTCCCAGGTAAACATACTCGTCAACAACTTCGAGCTTAGTGTTCCCAACAACTACCGGCATAGGTGTGACATGGACATTAAACATGATCTTTGTTTTGTCCATGTTCATCTTAAGACCTATAGCCTATTATAGCTTAGAATAAAATAAAACGTGAAATATTTTGTTTAGATATTTGATGTTTGGAAACGAAATATGGTTTTACTTAATGAAAATTATATGATTAAGTGAATTTGATATTTGAAAAAAAACACAAAGCTTTTTTCTTTATAATTTTTAGATGCCTGATTAACTACCATAAATATTATTAGACTCATTCTTTGTTTTTGCGACCTTAATTTATTGAGTATCGCTGTAAAATAAATACATAAAGAATTTTTTCCTGATAAGAATATCTAATGATAAAACTAATACAGAAAACAATAACACCTAATGGCCATATGGCGGTAGACATAATAAAATTCATCAACCCTGAAATCTTGCATGGATATCAATAGGGGAGGTCCGTGTCCAGCGGAGAAGTGTTTACGGTGTATAACTCGTGCTTGTAACTTGCGATAACAACAAAGCGTATGTCCTTCCGTGCGATTACAATATCAGCGACGTCTTCAAGGCAAGACTGAATAGGCATTTGTAACGTTAAGACAGTGCTATGTATCATCTAGGGCTTCATCACCACTTACCACTAGGTGGGATTGTAGCTTATAGTTACCACTACAGCCTATTAAAGTCCACTGCTAAATAGGCCTACCCCATAGATTGCCTCATATTTGCCACAGTTGGCAGGGGGGTATTTGCCACAGTTGCCACGCTTGGCAAGTGGGTTGGCAACCGCATTTTTTATTTTTAGGCGCTGCTGTTCATCTCCTGGTTCTTATGACACCCACAGGATAAACGACTTACTTCAACGATATGTATGCACCCGCTAGCCCTCCAATGCAGCTCCACTTCCCGCCTGGCTTTCGCGCTGTCGTGCAAAACTTTCAATGCACGCTTCATGCCCGTACGCTTCTCTTTGCATTCTACTACCTGTAACAAATCGTTTACAATGTTATTAAATAGAAGAATGGACCATAAAGACCACACCGAATTTCGGTTACGGCGGCCAGGTTCACCGGAGACTAGCCATCGGTGCAGGACAGGATTATAGTGCCCGAGTGTATGCGCAAACACGTGTGCACTCTCTATACACATCATTCACTTATCATCAAGTGGACTGTCTGAACATTTGTCATTCTAACTTCTATTAAAAACTATGTTGCAAAAGTAGCATTTTCTAAAAATAGATTAAATATCAAATCAACATTTGCGATTATAAGTACAGAAGCTGTCGTCACTAAATAGGCCTGCCGTAATCGATATTACAAAAAATACAGACACGACTTATTAATTCTTACTAATTCTAGCAAGAAATCAAGATAGACCTTCAATAATGAGAAATGAAAAATGAAAAAGAGTTCTTGCTCATAAATATTTAAGAATAAACTAAAAAAAAATATTATTAAAGTTTTTACTGAAAATTTAATTTCGGAGACAATCACAATTCACAATATAACCAGGCTTGAAAATCGACAATTTTTGTTTTTGCACAATGTGGGATGTGAACCCAAGACTCGCGACGCCGTAGTCATACAAAGCTGAGCACTATGCCACGTGGTCACCAAAATGTAATATAAATATCATCAATTGTATTTAAATTAGAGTTAGATAACATTTTGTAATTATTATTTTAAGTGAGAGGGTCAAGTCCATCAGTAGACTTGACTTGTGTTATGACATCGTGATGCATAATGTCTCTGGAATTTATAGTACGTATAATTTACAACTGGTAACACTTGGCAAAGAATTGGATTGGATTTTAAATAGTAACCAATTGCAGGTTTAAAATCCATTAAGAGACCGAAGAATTGGCTGAAACTGTGAATACCTACATGATTCAACTAAAAATAAACACGGTCTACTTACTTTAAATGTGGTGGACATGATGTAACCCTATATACTTAATATACAGTTTAAGAGAGACGAGTTTTCTTAGTGGATGCATTAATTTAGGTAGTCAAAGTAATATAGTTTTAATTTAAAATGCATTTATTATACTAGCTCAAACTTGTGCACATTTTAACGAGAATTTCTCTTAGAGTATAGGTACATAAGTAAGCTATGATTGTATATCCTCTGAGGAATTTCTATTTCTCTAAATATTTTATGAAGTTTAATTACGTGGATTACATAAAATATAACTTTTTCATTCGCGTAAACTATTCCACTATAAAGTCACGACCGTTTGTCTCTTGTTTCTGACGTCAGCTTAGCAAAATATAAATAATTTATGAAACTTTTAAATTATTGGACTAAACCAAAACTTGTTATGATTAGTTCATAGCGGTCAAAAATAGAGGATAAATTAAAAAAAATATATACTCAAGTATTTGAGAATTTATTTGCTCAATAACCGCTTATTATCATTAGTGACCATTTATCAGTTACTGACATTTTACAAGCCATGCAATAAAAAGTTTTGGAGGTAAAATTTAACTAATAATCAAATTTAATACTTAACATTATTAATAAAAAATCTATTTAACTAAAGCTATTATAAACAAGCTAATATGTATTCATATTGGTTATTTAACATAGCTAATAAATATTCCTATTGTAAGCATATCGGTTATTTAAATATTCATGAATTGTATATTATAACGGTTCGCGTTGTTATTGGTAAGTCCTCTGCAAGATGGACGGTTGCGTCTTTGCCGTGTCGAACAATCAAGCTTTTTTTTATTCGAATCATTAAAATGCTTAACAAATACTTGTCGGCATTAAAGCCATTTCTTAAATCGCATTCATAAAGATCAATGAGAAACAATTACAAGATTTCAGAGTAAAAAAAAAAACAAAGCGATAACCAGTCAACATCACAACAGTCCTCCGGAATAGTAAAGACGTAGTAACGTAACGTAACTTGTTGTTAAATAATGATCACAGTCTCGCAGCAGAGATATGCGTAATTCGTTATAAGAGAACATAATATAAATTTAAAGTATCTATTTTGGAGCGATACAAGTATCAAAATATGTTAAGAGGATTGTGAAGCTATAAATTTTCATACAAAAAGCTATAACGTTTCCCGCCCCTGTAAACTTACTTTAAGTCTAATTTTCATAATTTTTGGGAATGTTGTAAATATAATGAAAAACTAGGTCCATTTATTTTACAGAAATATTGCGTACGATATAAGTTATTAGTATCTAAATATCTATATTTTTGACTTAAAAACTTCCTCGAACGTTTAACGTTAATAGTTTAATTAAACAAAACTGAATTACTAAAAAAGAAAACGTATAGACCTAGACGAAGGTGCACTGAATCTAATGAGACCAAAATTGTCTCATTTCGTAAAGGGTGAATACTTTATTACCCGAAACAATATTTCAAAAAGGAAATGTAGGTAGGCAATTGCTTCCAATACTTGCAACTCTCTCTATCGCACGATATGGCGATACAGAGCAAGTGGTATGAAACAGATAGCATTTTTGAAAATACCTACTCTCGCTCGCTGTGACGACAGTTCGACGCGACCGGAGAGAGATCAGGCGCAGAACAAACAGCTTAATGTGCTTTCCGAAGCACGGGGGTCAAATAACGCTAACTTGCTATAAGTAGCGACACGAAAGTCTAGCAGTGACCGTTATTGAGCATAAGTCGAAAATAAGGTACCGTGGGATAGTAAGATAGGTAGCGGGTCGCGGGGCGGGCGTGCGTCGTTCTCACGCGCTGATAGGCTCTCCAGTCGCATTCATGCAATTCTATTCGTGCGCGATAGTACCTATGCGCAGCTATCCCCTTCACGTTTCGTTCAGCGATAGATTTACGTGCCGCGACTTATATCACCATGTGCTACTGAGAATGTCTTGACAGAAAAATTCAATAATCGACTCCCGATCCAGGTTTCGAACCCATCGACAGGGACATCATGATCAGCAGTCACGTTCACGACCACTAGACTAATGAGGCATTCAAAATTATGTTTATAATGACGTTGAAAAACAATGTTATTCGAACTGTACGAGTGAAAGACAGAATGATGTCATATTAAATGTATAGGTACATATGAGTGTATGCGGGTGGGATATATTATAATTGATTTCCTTCCGCCTTTACCAAAGAGTATAATATATAATTACTACGTTTTAGCCTTTACTTTTAGACAAGTATTGTGACAACCTTGGCTTAATAATGTGTGCGAGCAGTGCGGGGTGCGAGAGGAAGTGTATTGCGTTATTGCTACTACGCGTCACTTCGTATCGCGCAATATGACGTATATTGTGACGACATAATAATTGTTTCAGATACTGTCTACTTTCAAAGGGAATTCCGGTGTTGATTTGTGTATTTATCATTTCCTATGTTTCGAGAAAAGTCCCTAATTAAAACATTCACTGTTTAAATATGAAATTTGTTGGTAATTCCCGGAAATATTATACATTTCTTAACTGCACCACATAAATAGCAGTTCAAGTTCAATTTCAAAACCTGCAGTCTAGGTAGGTAATTGTTATTCCAAGGTATGGGCGACGACTTTCTTAATTATTTGGAAGATCCTATAAATTTAACCAATAATATACTTTGATACTTTATTTTTCTTTAGTTGCGTCATGTAAGGGAAGTGAAAAAGATAATAAAAGAAGTTCCGTCACTGTATTTCGTCCTGAGGGTATCTAAAATGCCTAAAAGACTTGTGACAACCAATGGAGAGGGGCATAGTTATTTTTTAGGGTTCCGTAGCCAAAGGGTAACCAACAGGACTCTATTATTAAGCCTCCGCTGTCCGTCCGTCCGTCTATCAGCGGGCTGTATCTCATGATGCGTAATAGGTAGACAGGTGAAATTTTCTCAGAATGTGTATTTCTGTTGAAACAATACTATAACAACAAATAAAACTACTTTTTATTATTTATATGACCTACCTAAATCTACTAAGAATCGGATGATATTGTTTGCAGATGACAGACGGCGGTTGCAGTTCTCTTTACGGAGTTCAGAAACGACCTGTGGCAAACAAATGCTAGCATACCATTTTGCATTAACCGTTCTTTGTCCCTCAAGAGGATAGTCGTAACATGGCCGGTTTTGGAGACAAACGTGACCACCATTTTTTTTGCAACACTCCGTGAACGAACAATTTTTGTTGGCTTTAACTCATATTCGAATACCCAAACTCGTGACTGGTTTTTTGTTTCGGGTTCGTACGCGTATATCCAGGATTCGTCATCTGATACGATGTTGTATACAGCATTTGAGGATCCTGCGTGAAATCTTTTGAGAGTTATGACGCACCAAGTAACGCGAGCTGCTTTTTGCTCTTCACAGAGGGAATGCGGTGTCCATCGGGAAAACAACTTTTTTACACCTAATTGTTCATGCAAGATTATTTGTATTTGACGCATGCCAATGTCTAAAGTTGCCTGAATTTCGCGGTATGTCACATGTCGATCTTCCTCAATCAGCTTACGCACAGCATCAACGTTTTCTTGGGTGACTGCAGTTTTTGGACGACCTTGACGGGGATCATCTCTGAGCTTGACACGTCCACGTTGAAATTCAGCAAACCAGCGATAAATTGTGGTTTCGGATGGAGCTTCATCACCAAATGCAGAAATCATCCGGTCAACACACTGTTTTTGTGTTAAACCACTTCGAAAGTCATAATAAATCATCGCTCTTGAATTTGCTCGAGTCAATTCCATTTTCTCAACGACTAAACAAGTTTGACAAAACCTTGTGACAAGACCGAGAATCTTTTTTTAAATAAATAAATGGTATTCAATTTAAAAAACCAAGGACTTTTCAATTAAAAAGATTTTAATATGACAGGAACAGTGGAAATATTCCATTCCCGATACTTTTAGTGCAGCCTATGTATATCGTGATACTAACGTTATTACGTTTATTTTTTCTCTGACGGACTCGCTGCAATTCAAATTATAAATTGCCAGTACGGCCGTCTTTTGCAAAAAAAAATTATGGTT